AATATACGTTAACGACATGTTTACAGGAGTAGAGTCCTACATGTCGATGTTCGCGGATGACGCAAAGTTGATGAGAAGAGTTGTGACAGATGAGAATTGTAGGATCCTCCAAGAGGACCTGAACAGGTTGCACAGATGGTCAGAGAAATGGCTGCTGGAGTTCAACACGAGAAAATGTAAAGTTATGGAAATGGGATCAGGTGATAGGAGACCAAAGGGACAGCACACAATGAAAGGGAACTGCCTACCTGTGACGACGCGTGAAAGAGACCTGGGCGTGGACGTAACACCTAATCTATCTCCTGAGGCACATATAAATAGGATAACGACAGCAGCGTACTCTACACTGGCAAAAGTTAGAACATCATTCAGAAACCTAAGTAAGGAGGCATTTAGGGCGCTTTACACTGCCTACGTAAGGCCAGTCTTAGAGTATGCCGCCTCATCATGGAGTCCCCATCTGAAGAAGCATATAAGGTAACTGGAAAAGGTTCAGAGGTTTGCAACGAGACTCGTCCCAGAGTTACGAGGGATGGGGTATGAGGAGCGTCTAAGGGAACTGTGCCTTACGACTCTAGAAAGAAGAAGGGAGAAGGGGGGACATGATAGGAACGTATAAAATACTCAGAGGGATTGACAGAGTGGACATAGACGAAATGTTCACACGGAATAGTAACAGAACGAGGGGACATGGATGGAAGCTTGAAACTCAGATGAGTCACAGAGATGTTAGGAAGTTTTCTTTTAGCGTGAGAGTAGTGGGGAAATGGAATGCACTTCAGGAACAGGTTGTGGAAGCAAATACTATTAATAGTTTAAAACTAGATACGATAGGGAAATGGGACAGGAGTCATTGCTGTAAACAACCGATGCTCGAAAGGCGGGATCCAAGAGTCAATGCTCGATCCTGCAGACACAAATTGGTGAGTGCAAATAGGTGAGTACACTGTCTAGTGTTTGATGACACACTGTCTAATTTTTTATGCCGCACTGTCTAATGTTTGACGCTACACTGTCTAATGTTTGACGCCACACTGTCTAATGTTTGACGCCGCACTGTCTAATGTTTGACGCTACACTGTCTAGTGTTTGACGCCACACTATCTGGTGTATGACGCCACACACAGTCTGGTGTTTGACGCCACACTGTCTAATGTTTGACGCCACACTGTCTAATGTTTGACGCCGCACTGTCTAATGTTTGACGCCACACTGTCTGGTGTATGACGCCACACACAGTCTGGTGTTTGACGCCACACTGTCTGGTGTTTGACGCACACACTGTCTAATGTTTGACGCTACACTGTCTAATGTTTGACGCCACACTGTCTGGTGTATGACGCCACACACTGTCTAATGTTTGACGCCACACTGTCTAATGTTTGACGCCACACTGTCTGGTGTTTGACGCCACACACAGTCTGGTGTTTGACGCCACACTGTCTAATGTTTGACGCCACACTGTCTGGTGTTTGACGCCACACTGTCTGGTGTTGTTTGATGACACACTGTCTAATTTTTTATGCCGCACTGTCTAATGTTTGACGCTACACTGTCTAATGTTTGACGCCACACTGTCTAATGTTTGACGCCGCACTGTCTAATGTTTGACGCTACACTGTCTAATGTTTGACGCCACACTGTCTAATGTTTGACGCCGCACTGTCTAATGTTTGACGCCACACTGTCTAATGTTTGACGCTACACTGTCTAATGTTTGACGCCACACTGTCTAATGTTTGACGCCGCACTGTCTAATGTTTGACGCTACACTGTCGAATGTTTGACGCCACACTATCTGGTGTATGACGCCACACACAGTCTGGTGTTTGACGCCACACTGTCTAATGTTTGACGCCACACTGTCTAATGTTTGACGCCGCACTGTCTAATGTTTGACGCCACACTGTCTGGTGTATGACGCCACACACAGTCTGGTGTTTGACGCCACACTGTCTGGTGTTTGACGCCACACTGTCTAATGTTTGACGCTACACTGTCTAATGTTTGACGCCACACTGTCTGGTGTATGACGCCACACACTGTCTAATGTTTGACGCCACACTGTCTAATGTTTGACGCCACACTGTCTGGTGTTTGACGCCACACACAGTCTGGTGTTTGACGCCACACTGTCTAATGTTTGACGCCACACTGTCTGGTGTTTGACGCCACACTGTCTGGTGTTTGACGCCACACTGTCTGGTGTTTGACGCCACACTGTCTAATGTTTGACGCCACACTGTCTGGTGTTTGACGCCACACTGTCTAATGTTTGACGCCACACTGTCTGGTGTTTGACGCCACACTGTCTAATGTTTGACGCCACACTGTCTGGTGTTTGACGCCTCACTGTCTGGTGTTTGACGCCACACACAGTCTGGTGTTTGACGCCACACTGTCTAATGTTTGACGCCACACTGTCTGGTGTTTGACGCCACACTGTCTGGTGTTTGACGCCACACTGTCTGGTGTTTGACGCCGCACTGTCTAATGTTTGACGCCACACTGTCTAATGTTTGACGCCACACTGTCTGGTGTTTGACGCCACACTGTCTGGTGTTTGACGCCACACTGTCTGGTGTTTGACGCCTCACTGTCTGGTGTTTGACGCCACACTGTCTGGTGTTTGACGCCGCACTGTCTAATGTTTGACGCCGCACTGTCTAATGTTTGACGCCGCACTGTCTGGTGTTTGACGCCTCACTGTCTGGTGTTTGACGCCGCACTGTCTAATGTTTGACGCCGCACTGTCTAATGTTTGACGCCACACTGTCTGGTGTTTGACGCCACACTGTCTGGTGTTTGACGCCGCACTGTCTAATGTTTGACGCCACACTGTCTAATGTTTGACGCCGCACTGTCTGGTGTTTGACGCCTCACTGTCTGGTGTTTGACGCCACACTGTCTGGTGTTTGACGCCACACTGTCTGGTGTTTGACGCCACACTGTCTGGTGTTTGACGCCACACTGTCTAATGTTTGACGCCACACTGTCTAATGTTTGACGCCACACTGGTGTTTGACGCCACACTGTCTAATGTTTGACGCCACACTGGTGTTTGACGCCACACTGTCTGGTGTTTGACGCCTCACTGTCTGGTGTTTGACGCCACACTGTCTAATGTTTGACGCCACACTGTCTAATGTTTGACGCCACACTGTCTAATGTTTGACGCCATACTGGTGTTTGACGCCACACTGTCTGGTGTTTGACGCCACACTGTCTAATGTTTGACGCCACACTGTCTAATGTTTGACGCCACACTGTCTGGTGTTTGACGCCACACTGTCTAATGTTTGACGCCACACTGTCTGGTGTTTGACGCCACACTGTCTGGTGTTTGACGCCACACTGTCTAATGTTTGACGCCACACTGTCTAATGTTTGACGCCACACTGTCTGGTGTTTGACGCCACACTGTCTAATGTTTGACGCCACACTGTCTAATGTTTGACGCCACACTGTCTGGTGTTTGACGCCACACTGTCTAATGTTTGACGCCACACTGTCTGGTGTTTGACGCCACACTGTCTGGTGTTTGACGCCACACTGTCTAATGTTTGACGCCACACTGTCTGGTGTTTGACGCCACACTGTCTAATGTTTGACGCCACACTGTCTGGTGTTTGACGCCACACTGTCTAATGTTTGACGCCACACTGTCTGGTGTTTGACGCCACACTGTCTGGTGTTTGACGCCACACTGTCTGGTGTTTGACGCCACACTGGTGTTTGACGCCACACTGTCTGGTGTTTGACGCCACACTGTCTGGTGTTTGACGCCACACTGTCTAATGTTTGACGCCACACTGTCTGGTGTTTGACGCCGCACTGTCTGGTGTTTGACGCCACACTGTCTGGTGTTTGACGCCACACTGTCTGGTGTTTGACGCCACACTGGTGTTTGACGCCACACTGTCTAATGTTTGACGCCACACTGTCTAATGTTTGACGCCACACTGTCTAATGTTTGACGCCACACTGTCTGGTGTTTGACGCCACACTGTCTGGTGTTTGACGCCACACTGGTGTTTGACGCCACACTGTCTAATGTTTGACGCCACACTGTCTAATGTTTGACGCCACACTGTCTAATGTTTGACGCCACACTGTCTAATGTTTGACGCCACACTGTCTAATGTTTGACGCCACACTGTCTGGTGTTTGACGCCACACTGTCTAATGTTTGACGCCTCACTGTCTGGTGTTTGACGCCACACTGTCTAATGTTTGACGCCACACTGTCTAATGTTTGACGCCTCACTGTCTGGTGTTTGACGCCACACTGTCTGGTGTTTGACGCCACACTGTCTGGTGTTTGACGCCACACTGTCTAATGTTTGACGCCACACTGTCTGGTGTTTGACGCCACACTGTCTAATGTTTGACGCCACACTGTCTGGTGTTTGACGCCACACTGTCTGGTGTTTGACGCCACACTGTCTGGTGTTTGACGCCACACTGTCTAATGTTTGACGCCACACTGTCTGGTGTTTGACGCCACACTGTCTGGTGTTTGACGCCACACTGTCTGGTGTTTGACGCCACACTGTCTAATGTTTGACGCCACACTGTCTGGTGTTTGACGCCACACTGTCTGGTGTTTGACGCCACACTGTCTAATGTTTGATGCCACACTGTCTGGTGTTTGACGCCACACTGTCTGGTGTTTGACGCCACACTGTCTGGTGTTTGACGCCACACTGTCTGGTGTTTGACGCCACACTGTCTGGTGTTTGACGCCACACTGTCTGGTGTTTGACGCCACACTGTCTGGTGTTTGACGCCACACTGTCTGGTGTTTGACGCCACACTGTCTAATGTTTGACGCCACACTGTCTGGTGTTTGACGCCACACTGTCTAATGTTTGACGCCACACTGTCTGGTGTTTGACGCCACACTGTCTAATGTTTGACGCCACACTGTCTGGTGTTTGACGCCACACTGTCTAATGTTTGACGCCACACTGGTGTTTGACGCAACACTGTTTTTCCAGGGCTGTTCCACACCATGCGAGGCTATGCTACCACCTATGGTCTGGGTGTGCCCCCACAAGGTAAATAATGGCAACACTGCTCTTTTTTGCATGGCAACTCTTCTTGCATGGCAACTGTTTTTGCATGTTAACTTCTTGCATGACAATTCTTCTTGCATGGCAACTCTTTTTGCATGTTAACTCTTCTTGCATGACAATTCTTCTTGCATGTCAACTCTTCTGCATGGCAACTCGTCTTGCATGGCATCTCTTTTTGCATGTCAACTCTTCTTGCATGACAATTCTTCTTGCATGGCAACTCTTCTTGCATGGCAACTCTTTTTGCATGTAAACTCTTCTTGCATGGCAACTCTTTTTGCATGTCAACTCTTCTTGCATGGCAACTCTTCTTGCATGGCAACTCTTCTTGTATGGCACCTATTCTTGCATGTCAACTTTTCTTTCATGGCATTTTTTTGTCATTGCAACTCTTCTAGTATGGCAACTCTTATTTCATGGCAAGTCTTCTTGCATGGACACTCTTCTCTCATGGCAACGCTTTTTGCATTGCAACCCTTCGTACAGGGCAACTCTTCTTGCATGGCAACGCTTTTTGCATGGCATCTCTTTCTGCATGGCAACTCTTCTTGCATGGCAACCCTTTTTGCATGGCAACGCTTTTTGCATGGCAACTCTTCTTGCATGGCAACTCTTATTTTATGGCAACTCCTCTCGCATGACATCTTTTCTTGTATGTCAAGACTTCTTGCATGGCAACTCTTCTTGCATGGCAATTCTTCATGCATGACAACTCTTTTTGCATGACAACTATTCTTGTATGGCAACTATTTTTACATGGCAACTCTTCTTGCGTGGCAACTCTTCTTGTATGGCAATTTTTGTCATGGCAACTCTTTTTGCATGACAACTCTTCTTGTATGGCAATTTTTTGCATGGTAACTCTTCTTGTATGGCAACTGTTCTTGCATGACAACTTCTTGCAGGACAAGTCTTCTTGCATGGCAACTCTTCTTGTATGGGAACTCTTCTTGCATGGCAACTCTTCTTTCATGGCAACTCTTCTTGCATGGCAACTCTTCTTGTAGGGGAACTCTTCTTGCATGGCAACTCTTCTTGCATGGCAACTCTTCTCGTGTGGCAACTCTTCTTGTATGGGAACTCTTCTTGCATGGCAATTCTTCTTGTATGGGAACTCTTCTTGCAAGGCAACTCTTCTTGCATGACAACTCTTCATGTATGGCAACTCTTCATGTATGGCAACTCTTTTTTTATGTAACTTTTTTATGGCAACTCTTCTTGTATTGGAACACTTCTTGCATGACAACTCTTCTTGTATGGCAACTATTCTTGTATGGGAACTCTTCTTGCATGGCAACTCTTCTTGCATGGCAATTCTTCTTGTATGGCAATTCTTCTTGTATGGGAACTCTTCTTACATGGCAAATTTTCTTACATGGCAACTCTTCATGTATGGCAACTCTTCATGTATGGCAACTCTTTTTGTATGTAACTTTTTTATGGCAACTCTTCTTGCATGGCAACTCTTCTTGCATGGCAACTCTTCTTGCATGGCTACTCTTCTTGCATGGCTATCCTTATTTTATGGCAACTCTTCTTGCATGGCAATTCTTCTCGCATGGCACATTTTCTTGTATGTCAACTCTTCTTGCATGGCAACTCTTCTAGCATGGCAACTCTTCTAGCATGGCAACTCTTCTAGCATGGCAACTCTTTATGCACGGCAACTATTCTTGCATGAGTATAAATCCCTAGAATGTGTTGCTGGGTCCACATACACCTGGGAATACTTTACACTACCTACGTGCGACCACCCCTACAGTATGCAGCACCAGGCATGGCCCTCGTGCATCCAGAAGCACGAATTTAACTTGAAAAGATGCAGTTGTTTCTGTCCCAACAACACCCAGGATGCAGCTTGGGCCTCGACCAGCATTACTTAGCTGTGAGAGGAAAAAACAGAAAGTCAAGAGACATGATAGCGACCTCCAAAATACTTAAAGGAAATTTGGTAACAGTAAAAACTATAATATCCAATGAGAGCATAGACTAGTATCTGGGATATGAGACAGACTAACACCTGGGATATGATGGAGTGAAAGAATGGTGCCCAATCACCTCTACCACTGGGTCGGGGGGGATCGAACGCAGACTCGTGAGGAAGCGAGGCCGTAGCCTGACCGGTCTTATACTAGGCACCAGGATGTGAAGTAAACTCTGGCCCCGAGGGGCGAGTTTACTGGGCAGCGCCACTCCTCCTGTGTGTGGACCATCTTCATCACTCTTTGTTAACTGGTGAAGTTAAAAACGTTATTCTGAGTAGAGTTTACTATGCTCAGTAGAGTTTTCCATCCTCAATAAAGTATACTATATGCTCAGTAAAGTTTACAATATGCTCAGTAAAGTTTACTATATGCTCAGTAAAGTTTACAATATGCTCAGTAAAGTTTACTATATGCTCAGTAAAGTTTACTATATGCTCAGTAAAGTTTACTATATGTTCAGTAAAGTTTACTATATGCTCAGTAAAGTTTACTATATGATCAGTAGAGTTTACTGTGCTCAGTAAAGTTTACTATATGCTCAGTAAAGTTTACTATATGCTCAGTAAAGTTTACTATATGCTCAGTAAAGTTTACTATATGCTCAGTAAAGTTTACTATATGATCAGTAAAGTTTACTATATGCTCAGTAAAGTTTACCATGCTCAGTAAAGTTTACCATACTCAGTAAAGTTTACTATGCTCAGTAAAGTTTACTATGCTCAGTAAAGTTTTCTATGCTCAGTAAAGTTTACTATGCTCAGTAACGTTTACTATGCTCAGTAAAGTTCACTATGCTCAGTAAAGTTTACTATGCTCAGTAAAGTTTACTATACTCAGTAAAGTTTACTATGCTCAGTAAAGTTTACTATGCTCAGTAAAGTTTACAATATGCTCAGTAAAGTTTACAATATGCTCAGTAAAGTTTACTATGCTCAGTAAAGTTTACTTTGTTCAGTAAAGTTTACTATGCTCAGTAAAGTTTACTATGCTCAGTAAAGTTTACAATATGCTCAGTAAAGTTTACAATATGCTCAGTAAAGTTTACTTTGCTCAGTAAAGTTTACTATGATCAGTAAAGTTTACTATGCTCAGTAAAGTGTACTATGCTCAGTAAAGTTTACCATCAACATAGAGCTGTGAGTGAAGACCTTAGTGAAGAGATAGGAGGACCCCCACCCCCCGGGGCCCGCCACCCCCCTGTACTTAGTTGATATGACTTATCAGAGTTGGTACACTATGGCCCCGGTACACTGTGGCCCTGGAACACTGTGGCCCTGGAACACTGTGGACCCCGGTACACTGTAGCCCTAGTACACTGTGGCCACGGTACACTGTGGCCCTGGTACACTGTGGCCCTGGAACACTGTGGGCCCCGGTACACTGTGGCCCTGGTAAACTGTGGCTCCGGTACACTGTAGCCCTAGTACACTGTGGCCCCGGTACACTGTGGCCCTGGAACACTGTGGCCCTGGAACACTATGGCCCCGGTACTCTGTGGCCCTGGAACACTGTGGACCCCGGTACACTGTAGCCCTAGTACACTGTGGCCCCGGTACACTGTGGCCCTGGAACACTGTGGCCCTGGAACACTGTGGACCCCGGTACACTGTAGCCCTAGTACACTGTGGCCCCAGTACACTGTGGCCCTGGTACACTGTGGCCCTGGAACACTGTGGGACCCGGTACACTGTGGCCCTGGTAAACTGTGGCTCCGGTACACTGTGGCCCCGGTACACTGTCGCCCCGGTACACTGTGGCCCCGGTACACCGTGGCCCCGGTACACTGTGGCCCCGGTACACTGTGGCCACGGGACACTGTGGCCACGGTACACTGTGGCCCCGGTACACTGTGGCTCTGGTACATTGTGGCCACGGTACACTGTAGCCACGGGACACTGTGGCCACGGGACACTGTGGCCCCGGTATACTGTGGCCCCGGTACACTGTGGCCCAGGTACACTGTGGGCACGGGACACTGTGGCCACGGTACACTGTGGCCCCGGTACACTGTGGCCACGGGACACTGTGGCCACGGTACACTGTGGCCCCGGTACACTGTGGCTCTGGTACATTGTGGCCACGGTACACTGTAGCCACGGGACACTGTGGCCACGGGACACTGTGGCCCCATTACACTGTGGCCACGGTACACTGTGGCCCCGGTACACTGTGGCCACGGTACACTGTGGCCACGGTACACTGTGGCCCCGGTACACTGGCTCCGGTACATTGTAGCCACGGTACACTGTGGCCCCGGTACACTGTGGCCACGGAACACTGTGGCCACGGTACACTGTGGCCCCGGTACACTGTGGCCCCGGTACACTGTGGCCCCGGTACACTGTGCCCACGGTAAACTGTGGCCCCGGTACACTGTAGCCCCGGTACACTGTGGCCCCGGTACACTGTGGCTTGGTACACTGTGGCACCGGTACACTGTGGCTCGGTACACTGTGGCTCGGTACACTGTAGCCCCGGTACACTGTGGCTCCGGTACACTGTGGCTCGGTACACTGTGGCTCGGTACACTGTGGCCCCGGTACACTTTGGCTCGGTACACTGTGGCTCGGTACACTGTGGCCCCGATACACTGTACCTCGGTAAATTGTGGCTCAGTACACTGTGGCCCCGGTACACTGTGGTTCGGTACACTGTGGCCCCGGATAACTGTGGCTCGGTGCACTGTGGCTCGGTACACTGTGGCCCCGGTACACTGTGGCCCCGGTACACTGTGGCTCGGTACACTGTGGCTCCGTACACTGTGGCCCCAGTACACTGTAGCCGCGGTACACTGGGCCCCGGTACACTGTAGTTCGGTACACTATCGCCCCGGTACAATGTGGCTCTGTACACTGTGGCTCTGTACACTGTGACTCTGGTACACTGTGGCTCGGTACACTGTGGCTCGGAACACTGTGGCTCGGTACACTGTGGTCCCGGTACACTGTGGCTGGGTACACTGTGGCTCTGGTACACTGTGGTCATGGTACACTGATC